CTTAATTTTTGTTGATGGGGGGGGTGGGGGGTGGAAAACAGCTTGTCTCGACAGCTTGCAGATGTAGACATATGGCGCCAAAGTAATAAATCTTGAGGGAGATAATGGCCCCCTGCCGTGAAGTAAACCGACACCCATCCGTTTTGAGGAGAGACGGATTCAGGGTCTTTTCGGTCTAAAAACGACTCTTTTATTAGTACTAAAACAGAGTCGGGCCGGCGCCCGTTTTTGGGGTCGTGCGGGTCGTTTTCAGACTCTAAAACAGCGTCGCTTGTTCTATGCGGGTAACGATGAAATATTGCTCTGTAGAAGACTGTGATAGTAATTCTTCCTGTCAAAATGTAATCCTGCACACGATAAAGGAGTACTGGATTTGAATAGTTCATTGAAAACAAATTCTCCATTTAAATATTTTCAGAAATCACCCCTGAGTACTGTAATATACAGATTGATCTTTGGAAGTGAAGTACATGGTCTGTACAATTAGTAAAGGATTAGCGTACATCATCACTCTATATACTATAACCTCGTTGGTTCATACGCATTATTTTTTTGTGTTTGAATTATATCAGAAACAACGACTTTTTTCCGATAAAGTTTGAGCCCGAAAAGAATTAAGATCGGTTATTTTGAGTTGGATCGGATGAGAAAATGAGGAAAATGCGGCTCGGAATAAGAATTATTGTGTCTGGTCCCTTCCAGCCCTTGCTAGAGAGAACGCTTGTTAATTAGACAGATGATTATGTAATAATTAGTTTAATGGTTGCACTCCATTTACAATTATATAACGAATACAAAACTAAACTGGACAGACCGGCTATTCAGGAACAGGTTGAGAAAATACAAATAAACTCTTATCATCGAAAATAAGTAATCTTCAATTATTAGTTTAAAAAATCTCTCTTTAATCACAAAGATTTTCTAGAATCTTTATTAAAAAGACGACATTTGAAGAATTTAAAGAAATCTGCGAACAAATTCATAGAAAACAAGAAATTCAATATAATGATGAAAAAGGAAAAAATTAATTCTAACTTCGATATAATGACAAATTTCTTTTGAGAAATATGTTCCTGAACATACTATTAGTTTACTAAAGAATTGTTACTATATTTTTAGTCGTCGTTATCTAATAATAAAAAAACGATTCTGAAAACCTGAAAATGAACGCACCCAAATTCATGATTTTGAACGTCGACTTTGTGCTCAAACTCAGTAATTATACATCGTGGAAACGTTTTATATGTCTCTAATGGATCCTAAAGAATTTGTCCACAATGATGCATACTCAGTTTAACTACCTAACACAGCCGGTCTGTCCCTTTAATGGAAACATAGGATGTAGGCGTGGTGTGTTTAATTTACAATTTTTTTCTGATCAATGATGACAAAGATCTATGTAATTATCTGGCTGAAAATCGATTATTTTGAATCTTGGTTTCTTAATCAAAGTATCTGTTTATGATACGGAAACAAAACAAAAATCTAAAAGTATTTAGAAATAAAAAAGAAAAAACGACGATATCTTCTATCTTAATGTTACACAGCCCTCTATCTGGGTACAATGGTTTCCTTTAACCCTCTATCTAAATAGATATTTTGATTAAGAAACCACGATTCAAAATAATCGATTTTCAACCAGATAATTACAAAGATCTTTGTCATCATTGATCAGAAAAGAGTTGCAATGAAACTTTTGATGCTGACACTATTGATGCTGATATTATTGATGCTGTTATTGTTGATGCAGCTATTATTGATGCTGTTATTGTTGATGCTGCTTGTATTGATGCTGTTATTGTTAATGATGCTTTTATTGATGCTGTTATTGTTGATGCTGCTATTATTGATGCTGTTATTGTTGATGCTG